AGACGCAGCGAATGAATACCATCGTTTTTCCATCCTCCACCAAAAAACCGAAGAGAAAGTAAATAAAAGGAAATAAGAAACTTGACGCTCAAAAAGTAAAGTCATAGAAAAAACGTAATAGACCAGCCCTATTAATGCACAAATTGCATTAAAAAGAAATGAATGCTAGCGCACCCGATACAGCATAGGCTTTCCAGATTTAATTTTTAGAGTAGATCTTGTAGGCAAGGGAAATTAGCCAGTCTCAAACGGGTCTATTAAGGACTAACCTTAGCTAACAAATGCACCTATGAACAGGAAATGTCACGCGTGTGGCCTAAGCATTTACAATTGCTCATCTCATTTAACCTTCCAAAACATTTGATTATACTGGTTCTTATGGAAGCAATCCCTTTTTCGGGTGATACAAATAAATTTCAAAACAGAAATAACTCCAAAAGTTAGTCCTTATTGGATAGCTTTAGAGTAAGTGTAAAAGGTAAAAATGAGACAAAATTAGTAGGACTCCCTAAATACATCAGCAATATAATCAAGAAGTTCAGAACACTATTGGAACAAGGCAATATCACTTATTAATAAACAATTCGCATTCATGGAATATTTATGCAAGTAAAGAATACATTTCGCAGTCATATAAATCTCATTGGTCAATTGGAGGAGGGAGTCACCATAAGTTAAAGCACAGAAAAATCAGAGGATTTATTAAAACATTTCCTTTACCTGATTAATTTTTAACTTTGAATAGTGGACACTCAAAAAATCGTTAACAAACTTACTTCATTAATATAAAGCCTAAATGATGTTTGGTAACTTAGTAAAATATAATAAGGTCAATTAAATAGCATTGAAGTATTTAATAAGATAAAAAAGCAAAACAGTTAAACGATAATTATAGATTATAAATATATATTTTTATTTTATTCAAGTAAAGGCGGCGCGATAAATGAAGCCACCGAAACCTAAGCAATCTATTAAAAAGGAGTGAATACGAATTCTGCATAAATAAAAGCAGCTCACCTCTCCCAAGAGACCGGGTGTTTGAGCACCAGTCATATCGTGCAAGTAATGTGCATACCCAGCTGTGGTATCACAAGATGAAACAGTAGCTGCTATGGGGCATGATTTCTGACCAGCTTGATTAAAGATAGTCAAGGCAGCACTAGAACTAGCAGGACAAGAAGATATGACGGCCTGTGGCAAAACAAGATCATCCTCTTCGGATTCATCGCTCTCTAGAAGGCTGAGGGCTGATGGAGAAGTGCAGAGTTCTTCAGGTACCTCAAAAACCTATTCATTAGGATATAAATCTTCGGTATAAATTATCTCTTCCAAAATATCCAAATTACAAGCAGACCAAAAAAGCTGAAGCTTAATATGCGAAATATGGGTGAAGTAGATAGGCCTAGCTATAAAGACTTTAAAAAATACAAACAAGAAGAATATAATTAATTCGTTATATCTGTTTTACTATCATAATAGATGCTCGAAGAGGGCATTGATGTCCGAGCGATAAATCATCGTCAAGGGTTCAATGATAGACGATAATTGAGCAGTTGGTAATGTAGACAACAGGCATTAAGTAGAATAGGCAATTATGATACGCTCTTCCAGTGCTTACTTAAAATCAACTTTTCATTCGGAATAACCGGTTGAGACAAATATGGTTTATTACTAGCGACACCATTTTATTTGGCTAAGAAAATGAAGATTGTCTAAATGAACTTTACATTTTACCAAAAGCAACATAGGGCTGGATAGATTCAATGAAGAATTAGGGCACCCAGTTGTTTCGGTTCAGCAAATTAACATAATTTTACTAAAAATCCCAACTGGGACTTGAGTGTACCGGAATACCAGAAGCACAAAAATAAGACAAAAGATTTCTAAGTGAATGGTTGTCAAGTAATGTAGAAGATTATAGGATATAGAGTTTATAGATAAGGAAATGATTTCACAAAACGTGAATATAAATCAATAGCCTCACCAAATAATTCCAACGAAAAACATCCTTACCTTCAATTCAGGTTCATATCTCATTTCGAATTGCTCAAGTATCCTACTCGAAGTAGGAGAGGGAGACTTCAATGCCGTCTGTATGGATTCGGAAGCCTGTTGCTGTTGAAGATACAACTGATTCGATCGATTATATGAATATCTTATGACGGCAGGACTGTCTTTCTGCCATGTCTGATGAACGACGATGCGACCTCCGCTAGCAGCAGCTTCAGCATGCCAGGCTCCAAAAAGAGTGCGCTTTGTGTCAGCAAGGGCTTCTTCGGTTTCTTCTCCTTCTTTTATTGGAAGAGGCGGAGGTCGATGCTGATTGTTTGTTGATATTCCTCCACCAGTAACAATAGATTCGGCGCCATCCCCAGAAAC